TCTGTCACATCCACTACCGCTGCTGGGACACCGCCAAGATCGGGGCCAATGAGAGCATGACACCTCTATGACGTCATCGGGCGGAAATCGAGGGACCACTTTCTTGGACGCGGTAAACACACTAGTCGGCGACACGTTCAAGGTGCCATGGTGAATGAGCGGATGTGGGTTCGGGGCTTGTGTCTGGTTTAGGCTATTTTCGGCATGCGTGGGAGCGTGGAGGGATTGGTGATGTGTTGTGGAGTGCAATAACACTCCGAAGGAATGCGGCAATGTGACATCTCATCGGTTTCCGAGCGGGAAGTTTCTGCTCCGTTCTAGCAAACAAAACCTATGCGCCGAAAGACTGACGGAGAGGAGGAGACGTGCGCGCCCGGCAATGGCAAAGCACCGAGCTCTAGTTAAAAGGATTAGCGGGTAAACCTAAAGCTAGCTGCCTTTGTCTTTACTGCACTCACCAAACGCGTTAGAACGCGGAACGCCGGAGTACGGCGTCCGGCTCTCGCACTCGAACGCGTTTCACGAGTGCATTGGAGACAAAGGTGGCTAGCCTTAGGTCTACCCCCAATCATTCCAACCAAAGCTCGGCGTTCTGACGTGCCCGCGAGCTCTCGCCTCCTCGCTTCTGATGCGGCATCTGGATCCACATGTCGGCGGATTGCGAATGCAGTCACCACTGGTGTCCCCTCAGAGCAAATGCCAGTAGATCAAATGCGAACGGCGAATCGTCTGACATTTCATGCTGAAAATCTTGATACATCTGCTGGTCGTTGAATTCACTAGGCCAAGCTTAATGAATCGTAGTGCATTATTTCCCCCGGACGATCGCGATGGCCTCCTGACTGCTTCTGACGCTGAGCAAAAGTGGCTCAAGCCGCCCATGTGCAGATGTTGGTTGATATAGGGTGTTTCAAACAGCGGCCATGCTTTTTAAATCGACCAGAAACAGCGGTTTCTTAAGCTATCGCGCTACGATATTGCGCAGCGTTGCCCTCAGGTGGTGCATTTTTTGCTATAAAATTTGTAAAGAGCGAAATTACCCGAGGAAAAAGTAAAACAAAAAAAAGAAAATGGCTTAACTCATATGGAAACGCAGCGAAGCCACAGGTCTTCAAACAATAGGGCGCCCTACTGTTTCAAGACCGGTAGCTTCGCTGCGTTTCCATAAGGTTTAGGTATTTTTCTTTTTTTCTTCTTTTTTTTCTTTTTCCTCAACTAAATTTGCTCTTTGCAAATTTTATAGAAAAATGCACCACCTGTGGGCAACGCTGCACACAGTCGTACGCGATAGGTTAAGATACCTATTTTTACGGTCGATTTAAAGAGCCTGGCAGCTCTTTGAGACATCCTGTACATCTGACGTCACAAAAAGATGGCGGATCAGTAAAGTTGCAAGTTTGATTCGGTTTCGGGATTATCGTAATTTTACCATTAAAATTTATTTAAAAAGTTTCGTGGAACTTTTATTACTGCTCTAAGCTCAAATTCTTGTGCTCTTTCAGAAAATATCGTAAGTTGAAAACTTTCGAATAGACGATATAAGAGCTTGTAATTTTTAAAGGGACAATGAAATAATAACAGTTTAAATTGTCCAGATGGGCACACATTATTAGCAATCTTTCACGAAAAATAAATTTCAATATTACGTAGATTGACTACATTTAGGGGGGGGGGGGGGGGGGTAGCACTGGTCTAGGCCTCGCTCGGTGCCTAACTAGCTAAGCACCTTTTCTCGGCTTTCATCTATTGGAGGTATGATTGACGTGTAAAATGTTCATTGTAAAATTGTTTTTATGTGCTGTAATAGTTTTTTATCGGCAATATATTTTTTTTTTATGTTTGAGAAACAAATAACATAAATAGTCATCATTTTTTTTTTTTTTTTTTTTAATATCTTGAGATTGCCTTTCCGCTTCAGTTTCAAACGATAACAAACATGGCTTCCGGCGTTTGCGGCGTGCTGAAGGAGGATAGCACGTCGAGTTCGTTTATTTTTATGAGTGCAAGTTGTTCTGCGTTCACAGAGGTGTTTAGAGTAAGATCTTTTTAACTGACCTAGTTTGCAGCAAACTGTCACAAATAAGCGCATTCGGAAGCGCTGTGTGGGTTCTTGGGTTCATAGGGCCTTAGCCAAGCGTCCCACTTCAAATATGTGCTTGATCTGGCTTGAATTGTTTCTTTGCGCGTGTTGATGTTGAATAAATATGTTGGTTCCCGTAAAAGCAGCCCCGCTGCTTTGTGAATTTGGCAACCGTCGTGACTGCAACCATGGTTTCAATACCGAGAAAGTGCCTACACAAGTAAGAATCTCCGAGTGATTTGGCTGGAGACAATGGGGCGTTGGACTAGCATCAAGCTTGTCCAGATTTGTTCCCGCCATTTTGCATCGAAAGGAAAGTAGCTCTAAAGATTCGCAGTCGACCTGGCCGGCCAATGCGAATATTTTAGGTCACGTTATAATTGTGCGTCATGCGAAAAATATACGCACCTTGTACGTGAATGTCATGCGAGAAAAAAATAACAAGAAACGAAAAGCTGGAAGGATTGCATGTTTTTTTGTTGATTTTGTTTATTCCTCTCGGTCGTTTTTTACTGCATATTGACAGAGGCTGACAGACGCTTGTATTGATTGATTCATAGCTCGTTCATGATGGAACGCTGGGATGCCGCTTTCATGATAGCGTTTTGCGAGCCTTGCAGAAGTTTTTAAACGGAGGCGGTATAGCAGGCAGACGAAGGCGAAAACGGACGCCGACGCGCAGCTTTCATGTCGGCGTCTTACGGGCATTGTGGTGGAATGGCAGACAATGCCGGAAGCTGCTCTGCGCGTGCTCGCACGGCTAGCAGATGCTGCCAGACGCCAGACTTCGCGAAACGCAGACACTAGGCTTGGGAACGTGTTCGATCGAGCAGCCAAGCCAAGGTAATGGGCGAGGCTGCTAATTTGTGGGCGGGCCGTACAGCACGCCGTGACCTCCAACTAAAGGGTAAGGGTGACTAACGGCGCATATATGGCACAAAAAAAAAATTGTGGAAAAACACATAGGTCTCCCCGCCTATGCCTTTCAAAAAGATACATGCTTTGTTTTCATTTCAGTGCCCTTTTAAGCCGTTTTCAGCTGTATGGGCCAGGCGGCTCGAATATGTACTCGTGCAGATGCGCCCACGATACCTTCGCCAGATTTGAGATTTCTTTGAGGAAGAATTAAAGGAGCTACGCAACAATTTTTGTACTCTGCGCAAATACCGCTTAAAACGGATCCCTAACGTTAATGACCTATGAAACACGCGTTCGTTTTTCACCCCACGCAATAGAAGTCCCAGAAAAAAATTAAAGAAAAACGAGCAGCGTTCACCCCCTCAACTCGCAGCCAGAACAAGCGGCCACGTGATCTGGAGCCGATTATATGCCGCCAGTGTTGATCATAGCCACGCGCTGGGGTTGGCAAAGCGCAGGACACGCGCTGAGTTCCAGACATTGTTATGGCTCGGCTGTTGTCGTCGTTGCAGCGATTGGACACGGGTCACAACCCGAATGCTTCTCGAGCTAGCAATTGTCACGAGCCCAAGTCGAGTGCCCACGCAATGCTCGGGTCCAATCTATGAACCGCATTCAAATATCGTCACTTGGGTGTACTGCGATCCCCGAGTTACGTCATCAAATTTTGCAAAGGAGAGATTGAATGAAAATGATCGCTTTTGTCCTTGAAATTACACCGCAACAAAGGAGTTTCTTGGCCAATGGCGTTGCGTGTGAGTATCCTTGAGTCCCAGGTGTGCCAGTAAGCTCGTGTAGAGAGAAAAACATTCCAATTGAATATCGTTGCACAGCTGCTTTAAGCATAAACCACATGGAAGCGATTTGGCTAGCGCACACCAGCTCGGAGCACGTGGAGCGAAAGCTCGTGCTGCAGAACCGAGGACGCTGGGTTCAATCCCCACCCCTGCCTGTTTCGATCTGGATGAGCATCGTACCGGCATGTGGTCGCGTATCACTACTGCGTGATGCACGTTAAAGACCCCAGGCTAGCGGTTGTACTGAAGAGGCTAAATTTCACATCTACAGCTGGGAGACGTATCGCCCGTTTAAGCAGACCAAGTTCTAGGCTTTATAAGTATATACACAACCTATTTTTTGTGACCGTAGATGATAACAAGGGATCAGGACCTCATTATCTAATAACGCCAAGAAAGGCTGATTTACGCGGGTTGCCCCCTCTTTTTATTTATACTTATCACGGCCAATTGCCGCCGTTTAAGAGAGAATTTTTGGTTAACATTCATGGACGGATTTTTTTCCGGATCCTAGCACATAACAGCTTCGCCGTAAAAAAGTTAAAATAATGGCCCTTTAAAGGGACACTGACACCCCAAAAAAGATTTGTCTTATTTTTTTGCCAGGCGATTCATTATGGTGTCAGAAGACTGCTCAATTAATATTTTTCTAGAGGATCACGTATATTTTAAATAAAGTGAAAAAAAATGCACATGCTCGCAACCGATACCGAAACTGAATTAGGGAGGAAATAGAAATATAGAGGAGGAGAGAGTTGGCGGAAGCCACGTGGCTGTGTAGCTTTTTTTTTTTTTTTTTTTTTTTTTGTCTTCAATAAACAATTTTGCGGATTTTTAGCAAAAAAAATAAATGGGTATCAGATTTTGTTCTTATTTTTAATATTAAGTGTGTGCCTTCGATGATCTATGACTTTGATTATATCTGGTGGTTCTGTCTATACCTTGCACGTGCACGTGTTAACGGAGAAGAGAGTGAGCTCGACTCAAACCGGCCATTTCTCGATCGGCTGTTTTCGGGCGGAAATAAAATGGATTTCGATCCGCAAATTGCTTCGTTTTTTAGGATTTCAGCTTTTGATTATGTAAGGGTCTGGTTCAGATAGCACTGAAAAACGCAAGAGTTCTATATATACACGAGTGAAAATAAACAAACGCCACCTCCTTCATCGCCTTATTCAATCGCAATGTGCGCATCACCCCCGCAGGGTTTGGGCTGCTCGAATCCGGCTGCGTGACCCGCAAGAACGAAGTCAACATCATGGTGAAGAACGCGGTGGACGTTGTATTCGGTGGCCTTGGCTACTGGATGTTCGGCTACGGCTTCAGCTTCGGCCAGGACCGGGGCACCAACGGGTTCATCGCCTTCGGCAAGTTCTTCCTCGACAGTGACGAAGAAGAGATGGGAGTCGTTTTCGCCACGTACATCTTCCAGTTGTCATTCGCCACCACGGCTACCACCATCGTGTCCGGGGCCATGGCGGAAAGATGCAACTTCGTCGCCTACTGCATCTTCTCTTTCTTCAACACGGTGGTGTTCTGTTTGCCGGCCGGCTGGGTCTGGGGCAAACACGGTTTCCTCAATAGACTGCTCGTAGTGGACATCGCCGGGTGTGCGCCAGTGCACCTAGTGGGCGGTGCATCGTCCCTCATAGCGGCCCTCATGCTCAAGCCTCGTCAGGGCCGCTACGACAGGGGCACGGACCCTCCACCCATGGGCTCGCCGACAAACGCGCTTGTTGGAATGTTTATGCTTTGGTAAGTAAATGTCCCAGCTGAGGACTGCGGGTCGCCTTAGTCAAAGGGCATAAGGCTAATATCATTAAAACTTCTCCTGTCAGCCACCTGAATGAAAGCCCCAGGATAGCTTCATTAATTTCGTAGATACAAGTACACCGTTATAATTTCGAAAACTTTGCTAAACGTTACACTTATAATCCATACACAAAAGTAAAACACGTGTTTGTGCAAACAGACAGAAAGAAATAACTTTATTGTGCACAGGCAAATATTAAAGTAGAAGTTCATAGAACAACGGAACCCATAATTTAAAAAAAACGAGATGAGAATAATTAAGAAAACGGACAAGCACACACACCGTCAAAATTTGAGACTGTGTGTGCTTGTCGGTTTATCTATCTGTTCCTAGTTTCGTTTCTTTCTTTAATTATTATTACAAAACCCATTCACCAGCTTGCCGGCATTTTTTTTTTCACTTCCATGTTTAACTTAGAGACGTTTGTTTTTCCTGGCTGCTTGATATGCTAACTGAATAGTTCTTGGTCTCTTGTGGAGCACCACCTCAGCAAGGTGGCGCTTTTATTGATTGTGAAGTTGGAGGGTAAATGCCAGTTCCAAGACAGCACTCTTCCTATGTCGGCGTACATGCTTACCTGCAAGACTGTACTGATGAACGAATACGTTCAACTATACAATAAAAATACAAGAGATGTCTGAAAAGCAGTGAGCAGACCTGGAAATACGTTGTCTCGTTAGAATGAAACTTCGCCTGTGTGCACAACTCTCTTGCAGAAACTACGTGCTGCCATTACCAAGAAACGTCCCGGAAAACTTAAATGTGGCCTGATTTTCCTCAAAGTCAATGCACCCTGTCATACTGCCTGCCCCCCCCCCCCCCCTTGTAGAATATTGATAAGTGTAATTTTGAAGTGTCACCCCACTCACCCAACACATTGTATTTGTCAGCGTCAGATTTTCATTTGTTCCCTGCACCCAAATCACAACTGTAATGATAGCAACGACGCTGTCATAGACGGTGTTTCCAGTCAAGAAAAATATATACAAGAGGTAGTAAGCAATGAGAGGGGAGGCCGATGCCGGGAAGTTTGACCACTCTTTCTGTCCTTAGCAGGTCACTTAGGAAAAGGGGTAGAAAGAAAACCCAATAAAATAATAGGAAAAAGAGAGGAGAGGAAAGTTTAAAATAGCCATATGAGTTGATCGTTTCTGCGCCCTCAACGCAGATGTTGTCACCATCGCTCGGTAGCTGTTCAAGGCTCTGTTACAGTGATGAAGTAAATAGGACTCTTTTAAGAAATTATAAACTTTCACGAAGGGTCTAGCGGCTTCATCTGCAAACCTTGATGTGGGCGAGGACAAAAAAAAAAAAGAGGAAGGCGGGGGGACAAGGGAGTGCGTTATATGGTTGCAGGAATAGAGCACCTTCACCTCTAGCCCACCGAAGGGTGTTTAGACCGCTGAACTTCAACAGAACTATGTAAGATGGTTCAGATCCTTAAGCGCCCCACAGGTTGGACAGTTTACGTCCGTGGTTGGGGAGAAACGTAGTAATTGTGCGTCGAAGGGAGGGCACGAGCCCGGGATATCTTTACCTCTCTTCCGGATAGGGTCAAGAAACGGCCAACATATTTTGAACCTGTGCAAAACAGTGGATGGGTGTAATCTAATGCAAAACAACGTATTCAGACGTAGTTTGGAATCTGTGAAAAAGTGATATGTTTGGAGGAATGGGTATGAATGGTTTCGTAGCCAAAGCAAGCGAGTGAGGATATCGTCGTCTATTGCTGGGGGTATAGTAATCTGATCTTGTGAATTCTCGAAACAATGATTATGGTACGTTACAGTGGTTTGCTGCTGGAGCCAAGGAAAGCTGTCTCCGAGTATAGCTGCCATATTCACATGACCTGGTTGGCACGGCCAGTACTCAGTACTGTCTGGACACGTAGCGTTTCCTTTAGTGCGGTGGGGCGGAAACAGTGCAAAGGCCTCGTGTTCGCATGGTTTTGTTCAGACCTGCCCAAATAAAATCGGCGAATAAGCTCGAGATCCCAATTCTGCATGTCACTCGCCAATACTTTAAAGACCGTTGGTCTGAAGGCCATTGAAATAGCCGTGAAACAGAGGTTCAGAAAAGCCACGACACAAAGCACACTTAAAATTAAATTTTAAAAAAGCCATTACTCGTAAAAAGATAGGATCCTGCATTAAAGCGAAATTAAGTTCCGGGCTCTGAAGAGTTACTCGTGCGTGTTGAAGGAGCTTTGGTTTCCGGAAGGCCTAGCGATAATGTGTCTTCGATCCTTTCACTACACAGGTGGGGTTGGCTCGGTTTCAACTGTGGCAGTACCTTTGGAGTTTCCGGACACAAATGGAAGTACGCCGCAAGGTAAGTGAATAGGGCCGTAAAGGCAGTATGTTGATTAGGCCTCACGAACGCAAAACAGGGTCACGAGGTAAAAAAAAAAGTCTAGAATCGGTGGCACGCAATCTGAGAATCGGGCGTCATGCCACCACCGAACTGTTGAAAAGGAAGTTGTGCGTTGAAAATATCGCGCCCACTATTTATTCCTTTCCCAGTTTGTAAGAAAGTGTCAAGCCTTTCCCCGTGGTACAAGCGCCTGCTTGTCGCGCGTCTGAATACCGATGCGGTTATTGATCGCGAAAAACATCGATCACGTCTTTTTCTGTTTTTAGCCGCAAACACAAGGAGCTGCGCCAGCCCCTGACAGAAGAGAAAGGTCTTTTTGGAACAATAGGGGGCGGCGTGAATAAATCAGTTCTGGGCGTTCGGTATTCTGAGCGAACAAGCTTTCGTATCGGTTGGCGTGTTTGGTCAGGCTGATCGAAAAGATCGTTCAATGATGGCATATGAAGTTGCTCAGAAAAATAAGGGGGTTACGGTACTGTTACAGTTTTTATTGTGAATGAGTTTAACTGGGCCGATATTCGGGCGGTGCTAACCGGAGGTTGCGCCGGGTGGGGAGGTTCGTTGTTTATTGTCTGTACCTGTTGTGAAAGCGACATATTATTTTTTTTATTTTTTTTTTCTAGGAGGTTACGAAAAGCTGCGGGCACCAATGTCAAACGATGTTTCGTCTACAAAGCAGTCGCTTCGCGACGAGAACGACCTTGGGAACGATAGAAAGGACTGGCGCGTTGTTACAGTCTTTGGAGAAAGTGTGATGAAAGCTACACATTGAGAAAGGAACAGAATTTTATCTGAGATTGTAGAAGAGTAGAATTTTAGAAAGTATGTATATTAAAGCTCAACTCAGCACCTCTTTTTTAATTTGTAGTGCAAGTATTTTTTTGCGACTCAGGTTGCAAACTAAATTGTAATGATAGAGGCAGTCTAAAATACCCAAGAGGCATGGAGGCCTCCATAGAAATTACACGAATGTTTTTCTTTTAGACTTTACAGAATCTTCTTCTAAGCCGTGAAGCTACATTTATGCGGTTTCTTCAGAGGAGTTATGCGTCCAGGGGAGGCAATATGGGGAGTAAATCGTCACGAAAAGTCGACTAACTACAATCTGTTATTTAAATTTTAATTGCATGAAAATAAGTATAATGTTTCGACTAAAATTACTGGGCGTCATCGAAAACTACTGTCAGTGAATTTAAGAAACACTTCGATGCCGTGGGAAGCCGCGGTAGTGCGCTCATGTTCCCACTCGTGCAACAAACGCAATGCGGGCAGCCCGAAAACGGGGAGGATATGAGGGACGGAGAAATCGCACGGGCGCGGATTCGCACCCTCAGCATTGTTAAAAGTTTTTAATCAGACATTTTAGTTAATTAGTCTATCTTTCGTGACAATTAGCCCCCTTTTATATGTCCCTCTGGCCATATAACTCACCTCCTCAGACTGCATTATTGTAGCTTTCACTTTTTTTTTAGACAGTCAGTAACGCCTATAGAAAGAAAATAAACAATCACCGTTTATTTGTTTTTAATTCGAAGACGTTTCGCGCAAAAAGGACCGATAGTTATATAAGTGCCGTCTTCACCAAATGTTTATAGGTCTCAAGGTCATTAGATGAAGAGATAACCGCCACGACATGTTTTCTAAGAAGCCAAAACTGATTTAATAACTTTTAATTAACAATTCATTGAGTTTTTCTGCCATCGCAGCTTTAGAGGCCTCACCGCCCGATTTTGAGTAAAACCTTCTAGTTGTACGTTTCTACTGAAGCATTTTCATGAAGCTGGTCGAGAAGTTTTAAAACAAGCAATGGATCTATGTTAACTCAGTGAACTCAATGACAACAGTTTTGTCTCCGGTAGCTTAAGTATGCTAAAGCCATTTAGCGTTAAAGTTGTACTCCCCAAATTTTTTGAGCTACCTCAACTAACTATGTTTTTTGACACCCCGGTCTTTACCCTTTTTGGTATGCTATTTAGTATCGCGAAATTCATAATAGTTATTGTGAAATCGGCAAATGAAAATGATGCAAAAACCAACAATCAAATATACCCACATTTTTCAGTGACGTGATGTCAATGGCCGGCGAGCAAGCAGTCTAAAAAATGAAAGCCGTTTACAATTCCCTGTAACGCTGGATTAGAGCGCAGCTCTTGAGGAGGAAGATGGAAGCGTACTGAGGGATAGGTGACTCCTTGAGGTCACGTGACTTCAGGGGGTCACGTGACCTCAGGGGGTCACGTGACCTCAGGGGCTCACGTGACCTCAGGGGCTCACGTGACCTTTGGGGGTCACGTGACCTCGGGGTTCACGTGACCTGAAGGGGTCACGACCTTAGGGGGTTCATGTGACTTCAGGGGTCACGTGACTTCTGGGGGTCACGTGACCTGGGTGGGTCACGTGACCCCATTAGGTCACGTGACCCCCAGAAGTCACGTGACTTCAGGGGGTCACGTGACCTCAGGGGGTCACGTGACTTCTGGGGGTCACGTGACCTCGGGGGGTCACGTGACCTAGGGGTGCCACGTGACCTGGGTGGGTCACGTGACCTCGGAGGGTCACGTGACCTCGCGGTTACGCCGACGCCGCTCAAGCCGGAAACGGGCCCCTAAGAGCTGCGCTCTAAAAATAAAATATGCCAATCATTTGTTCCGCGCTGGAGCGCGGGTACTGTAGCGAGCTTCCAAATAATTTATTTGACACCACGAACTGCTTCGAAACACTTGGGAATAAATCTTAGAGTCCAAAGAGTGCATCTGCTTTCCACTGACTTCACTTTTTCGTTGTTGCCAGTTGGAATTTTCAGTTTGAAAAACACGGTGAGAACCAAAAACTGTAAATTCAATAACTTCGCGAAAAAAACTATTTTATCTAATATTTGGCATACTATTCAGCGATGTTTGTTGGTTAGTCTAGCAAAATTTCAAGCAAATCGGAAACAATGAAAAAACCTCTGGAGTACCCCTTTAAATATACAATGAATTTTTCAGAGACCTCACTTTGGCTATGATCACTGCATAACACTAATTACTACACTATAATCGCATTACACCAAAAGAGCTCTATGTTTTTACTGACTTGGTGGGCACGCTTACAGTGTGCAGGAAAATCAGCAGCCCCTGCAAGAGTGCAAAAGCCATCAAAAAGGTGCCCCCGCCTCCCCCAACTTTCTATGCAAGGTACAAAAGTCCGCCTGTCCTGGGCAACCGCCCACCCGCTCACCCAGGAATACCTGGGTGAGCGGGTGGGCACGCCCACTCTGCAGCTCGGGCGCTAAATGCCACACGCCGCGAGATGCAGAAGCAGCCCAGCTACCTTCATGATCATGACTACGCATCGTCCCCACCCGAAGATGGCGACTATGACCCCGACGAAGCTAAACAACAGATCAAACTTCCGTCTCGTAACGCACTGGAGGAGCATCTACCCATTTCCGACCCCCTGCCGCTCGGCGAACGAGGATGGTATTGACTCTTAAGGCCCGTTAGAACCAGTACCGCCTGCACGCCGAACAGAAGAGCAGCCCGGGAAAGGGCACGCACACAACCGACACGTTTCTAGTGCAAGGACACTTAACACGCGGGCGACCTAGTTCACCCGTTAGGGTGAACTAGGTCGCCCTAATGGGTGAACGTTAGGTCGCCCTAACGGGTGTGTTGCCTCAAGGCCTTCCTGCAAAGGCCTTGAGGCAACACAAAATAAGTACCTAGAGGACTGGATGGCATCCATTGAGAACGGGGTCTTCCCACAGGCCCTCCAGGAGAGTAATACTAAACACTGCGCACGCTTCTCGATTATATTCACAAAGTTGCCATAGGTGCCACATACAATCCCCTTCCCCCCATAACGCGAGTTCCAGGCCTTAATGCCACTGACACAAATGCTTTACACTACTGCATCCAGTACGGAAGGAGAGTCAGTATAATTCGTTTTTATTACTATGCGTTTTGGAACAAACAGGAGTATCTATTTTTCGCAAAGCACATAAAGAGATGCTGAACCAAAATCTGAATTCTGCAAAACACGGTGGCAGAAGCCTGCAACGGGACGCTACAAACATCAAAACATCACTCATACAGCGATATCTCAAACGGATGATCGTATTTTTCTAAATACAAAGAAAAAAGGAGGCGCATTTGACAGATATGTTGACGTCGTTTCTCTAAGAAGAGTCGAAAAGGAGAGGACACGGCCTCGCGTCTTCTCCGCCTCGCCGCCCTGAGGTGGCGAAGCGAAAAGAGGAGGAAACAAGATATGTTGACGTCACGCGTCTCGTCGGCCTTGTTTAACCTCGACCTCTTTTTCAGAAATAATACCGTCCATTCGAGATATTGTCTTACGAGTGGTGTTGTAGGGCTTGTAGCGTCCAGGCCTACGGCTCCTGCATTGTTTTCTGAAATCCAAATTTCGGTTCACCATCCCTTTAGGAGCTAGTGAGTGTGATGTACACGAGGGTTACAAATGACGAAATATAGGTAATATTTGAGCACGAAAATTCAAGTACACCTGCGTTGGGACACGGAGCACTTCCGTCATGAAATCCAGGCGCAGATAGTTTTTTTCTCTTTTTTAAGTGATAGCATTATATGTGATTAACAATGGCGGGCGTATCCAGGGAAAGAGCTTATAAGGCTTCACCCCCCCCCCCCTCCCCCGGAGTCCAGCCGACCCCATACAACTCAAGTGAATTTCGACCCCCACCCCCTCCCTCCCCCCATCCCCCCCCCCCCCCCCCCCCCCACTACCTTTGTAAAGATTCCTGGCTACGCTGCTGGTGTGTGGTTCTTCGTTGCTCTTCTTGCCCAAAAAGAGTCATTGTCTCTTAGCGGATACAGTAGATGCACGGGCTTTGTTCGAGGCTGAGTGCAGTGGTTGTCATACATACCATAGTATTAATATTTAGCACAATGCATATACTTATAGAACTATATGTTTTTTTTCATTCACCCAGATTTCAAATA